TCTTTCCTGTCAGGCTCTCGGTGAACATGCTGCAATATGTTAACACCTGGCACAGTATTCCAGGATGAAATGTTGAACACATGAGTAGATATGGTTTCTGGGAAGATATGGTTCTCAAAGAGGAAAATGCCGGTCCCTGGATTTTGTTCCTGAAGACTGCTCATCATTGTTTTCCAGTCTGGGTCCTTAAGGGGAAGAATTATTTCATCAGCATCATTGAGAACCACAAACTTGCTCCTTTGCATGTTGCGGTATATACAGTCATTTAGAGCTGTGATTTGTCCATAGTAGCCAATGTGTGTTCCATCTTGCATGAAGTGCCATTGAGAAGAAACCTTGAGGTATGAGTTTATTGGCCAGGGAATTATCTCTACAGTTCCTTCTTCTACATAAAACTTCAAGACCTTCTCCATTAGATGACTGCAGTTGTTCTTATAGATCACCACTTTCTGTACTCCAAGAATCTTGTACATTTCCATACTCTGTATAAACTGCAAGACATTGTTGTAGTTTCCAAACATGGCAGAGATGCATACAGTGAAGTCAACAGAAAAGGTCTCAGCCTTGCGGTTTTTAATTTCAAACCTTGGCAGCTGGTCAATATTTCCATGTGGAGACTGATGAATTGATACATGTGTTGGATCACAGTTTTCAGGTTCCAAACAATCTATATCTGCTGCACCGTAAGGGAATCCAAATCTATCTGAGTGAACATTGATTTTTGCTTTTGATACATAAATCTTTCCATTGGGCTGACAGCAGAACCAGCAGTACAGTTCTTTTACATCTTCATGGTGAACAATCCCAATCACACGGGTGACTTTGCTTTCTCTGTCATCAAAGTATGGGGATATAATAAAAGTTTTGTTCCCTTCTAATGCTGTTATTGTAGTTTGAGCAATTTTCCCCCTACAAGGCTGACTTGATGGACTGGCAGTTGTTGCTTGGGGGAATATTTTTCTCGTTATGTCATTCAGTACCTGAAGATCTTTCCAGGAGCAGATTAAAATGCTTGCAAAAATAAGAATGCATGCAACTACAGCACAAATATGTTTTTTTCCACAGTGTATCATTGCTGATTTTCACAATTTGCAAATTAACAGACTTTTATACTCAGCCTTCGATTCACTTTCTCTAAAACAAAACAAACACATGAAAAAGTACACTTTCAGTGATTTGCCAAAAAGAAGTAGTCTTTTGTGTTGAACTGTATTCTATTAAATACAATAGTTACCGTTTTGATACTTTGAAATCTAGTACGAAGGCCTGACTTTTTATACAAATTTGCAAAACCTTGAGAGACTCTCTTATACCTCCTCATTCTGAGCTTTATTATATTTTATTCTACAGTTGGGCCCAGTGCACATTTTAGCTGTTTTGGTATATGGTAATGGCAATATAGCGTAATTTCAGTCACTGACTCCTGGAGAGTCAGTGTGTTAGAGAACCCACATTCTTTATCACTGGTGTTCTGAGAGACTTGTACAACTACAGAATTACCCTTTCCCCTTTTCCTCCTAAAAAACACTAATTCAAAATGCATTATTTTGTATTGTGCTGGCGTGATCATGTCACAGTCTCTCAGTGTCCTGATTACCACATCATGAAGAAAATGTTTACAGAGCCTAGTGTGTTTTTAGAGCCTATGGTATTGAACATTGTCTAGGAGAAGAGGTTTGAAAATAATTACCTTCTCACTTGTTCAGGTGTCAGATTATCTGAAGATTGAGAGGCATGTAACAAGGACAGGAACATCAGTGAAGTTGTAGAAGTGTCCAAGAGAACAATGATAACTGTGGAAGGTGGAGAAAATCAGAGAAGCCTGATATAAACTTTTCTGTGGAGGATGATTTACTGCATGAGTGATAGGACATATTTACCAAAGGATGAGATGAAACAAAGCACTAATAAATTTCCACATCATTAATGTCTGTTGTTCCTTTTTTAACTATGTGGCAACAAAATTTTGGATATTGGTTCTCTTAACAAATTTTGTATGTACATGTTATCCAATTTGGGCAATGTGAATTCATCCCAATAGCTTATTTTCAAATTAACAATGAGTAGTTGTAGCATGCCATTGTTAATCACTTGATCTGGAAAATAGTATGGGGACATAGTTCTGGGAACGCACCTGGGGAAGGCTAAAAAGAGCAAGGACACAGTCCCCTGGGAACGCACAGACACAGTCCTGGGAATGCACCTGGGAATGCAGTGTACAAGCAAGGCTCTGGAGATAGTAACTTATATAGAGATAGGGAGTAACTCAGATGGCAGATGGCAGGGGTAAATCGTCCTTGAGGGTGAGACAAACAAGTTCAAGACAAACAGCTAGGAATGCACCCAAGCCTGGGAAAGCAGGAGATAACCCTCACAGCTGCAGCTGCGAGTAGGGAGAGTACCTGAATGCTATCTCTAGAGCGTAGCCAATTATAAATGATTGATAGTTGTATGCCTGTCCTGTATTGTATAAAAAGGAGCCTGTCAGACAATAAAGTTGGAGCTTGCTGTATCACCCACACGGGGTCGGCCGCTTGCTTCCCCGCACGGAACCTTCACCTTTCCCAACAGTAAACTAGCTTTCTTATTAGAAACCAGAGGTCTTCTAGGGCATGACCAGTGACTGTGAGTATAACTTTACAGACAGGAACAAGGAAGAAACAATTAAGTCCCTTTTACACAGGGACTTAGAATAGAGACACCTAGAGATCTATATTGTCTGTTTAAATAACCTACTGTTTTCTCCTCAAATAATTGTTTAGTTTCTGGAAACCTCCATTGGTTACTAAGCTTCATCCCATTTCTGTCTTTGATTTTGACTTGTTCAAAGGGATATTAATTGATACATGAATTTTCCAAGAAAGGGATGGCATCCATTCCTAAATATGAACTATGATTTTGGTCTCAGGCTTGTGCCACCTCTTTTGGAATCCACAGGCTGCAACAACTAGCTGACGCACACTGCACTCAATGATTAAAAACATTAAGTTTCTCTTTCTCTAGCTGGGATGGGATCTTAAAAAAAATGCAGCATCTCAGCTGTTGTAAGAGCAATAATTTCTGACCAGAAATAGCCACCGTCATTCTGAAAAAGTATATATATATATATGGAGTTATTAAGAGGTACTTATTGTACTGCTTTGTACTGCCTTTTGTTCAAATGAACATAAGCTGGCAAAGCCTCACTCTGTATAAGATGGCGTTCCAATGTTGAGCAAATGAGCACTGCTTCACTGTGTTTGATATCGTTTTGGTCTCTGTTACTTAAGAAAACATTTTGTATGCTCTGAAACTGAAAAATATCTTTGTTAAAATACGGACATTCTCTGCTTGTTTAGGTTAATACCACTTGCGGTACAGAGAAGAAACCAGAAGACAGTGTTTTACTGCAAGGTATGTTATATCAACAAAGTTTAGGAAAATTATTTGCACACACACAAAAGTGACTTGCTTTTAATAACTTAGTGGTTTTATAAAACACTATCATCCATTTTGCCTCAGCATTTTTTCAGTTGTTACGTGAAGAGGACAAAAAGGAGTTCGTGTTTGTTATGTGCACTCTTGATATTTCACCAGAACGCAGAAAAACATGCCCTCCTGGACATTAGAATAGTGAAACGATAGTGTATTTACTCACGGTTTCAAGCGTCATTGTGTAGCACTTCATGCTTTCCCATGTCCGACTCTGCTTCCACTGAAATGAGAGACCTTGCAACCTTTCTTGTTCACCATCTGCTTCCTCTACACTCATACTTTTGACGGTCTGGGAAATCCTGTGACTTGGTTAACTTCCTGTATAGCAAATCAGCTTACTTTCTGTTCTGCCATGTTCTCAGGACAAACAGCCTTGACTTGGAGATTTATCTGATTGGGATTTAAGTGCTTCCCATTAGATCACCTGTAATCTAATGTGTTTCATCTTAAATAGCCCCTTGTGTTTTTCAGAGGAGCTTTCGCTAAACGTAGTCCTGCTCTTTTGCTTTATAAGAACACAAAATCAACAATATCAACACAGGAATTGTGTGCACAGTTATGAGACTAGTAAATAAAACTGAGCATTAGTCACATCGCTCACATTAAATTAATCTACCACAGCAGGTGTTTGAAATAGTAGGTGGATTTAACTTGAGTCAACACTTGCTCAGAGGGTGGAGCTGTATTAATAGCCGACGTAAACACTAACATAAATGCAGGTGTTGACTGGGTAAGGAGATATGCAAAAGAATAAAGCACTTTACCTTTTGTGAGGGCCAAACTGGATTTTTCCGCTTTATTAACTATTTAGAAAGAAAACCTCTCTTTTTCTCTTATTAGGACTTGAGGGGAAGAAGACAGCTGGTGGGGGCAGAGGCCTCAGCAGCCCTGGCCAGTCCGCGAT